TTTTTTTGAAATTTACATATTTTGTACACATATCAATAAATACAAGTAGTTTATATCAAAAAGATACTGACAATTAAAAAGACTTCATCAACTTTGAAAATAAATAACTCAGGAAAAGTAATTATATAATAAAAAAATAAATATATTAATCTAAACATTTTACATTAAAAAAATACTAGGAATAATTTAATCTCTTGAATCAATGATTATATAAATATAAAATACCTTACTTTTTTTTTGTATACAATTTAATATTAAAACGAGTGAATTTATAAGTACCTACCTACTATTTTATTTTCAAGCGCTCACCACATGAGTTAATAGCACAACTGTATATTAATATTTATATTTTATTCAGTAAATTTATTTTCCTGGTTAACGTGTACCTAAGTTAATTAAGTATTTAAATGTGTACATTAACATAGAATAATATATATAAATTCATATTGTATGGGTGACTCCTAGTTAATTTACAATCATTTAAATTAAATTAAATTGAATTTAAACATATAATATAATTTTTTTTCATAGTTTTTCAAGCACATCAATTCTAATTTCATATTTTAATTTGTTCACACATTTTATCATTTATAGCAAATCTAAGTCGGTATCGTAATCTACATAAAGCCATGAACCATTAAATAGTATAGACAATAGACAACACTAAAAACTAAAAAGTAGAAAATTATCATTGAGCCTCCACTCTACTTAACGATTTACAACATATGGGGGAAAACTAGGCCTACAGCGTATGGCTGCTCTGGTTTTGAAACAATAATTTTTTTTTACTTTTCTCTGGAAATATCAAACTTCAACTTTGAATAAAATAATAAGAATTATTTTTTTTAAAATTTAATTCTTAAGCATCAACAGAATAAAAATGATAAAATGACTTTTAAGCTTAAGGTATTTTTTTTTATATTAACGTCTTATAAACTTCTGTTATAGCCTTGAATAACAATGTAGTTACAATAATATTTCTTTATTGTATTTTAAGTCCAAAACTTTTTTACTATAAAATGTTGACATAAAATGTGTAGGATGAATGTTTATACTATACACACACCCTTTTAAAGATTTTTTTTATTAAGTAGCTACAGCATTTAGATGTATATATACATATTAACAAGAATTCTGCATTTTTAGTAATCGTGCCGCACGATTACATAATTACATCGCAACTCTTTGGTTTCAATTCGTGCGTACTTTTAATGAACTCATCACTCTCTCACTAAGTACATTTTTTTCAGTACTAATTTAGTAGAAATATTATAGCGAATATTTTAAATAGGTAAATTAAAATAAAAAATCTAAATTGGCTCTTTATTCATCTTAACTAAACGCCATAATAAAATTGCATTGTCTTAAAATTTTTTGCTGTATTTGGTTAAACTATAAAATTAGGTAAACTAATTAATATATTTAAGTACTCAAAGTTGACTTTAATATTGCTCGTTTGAAGTATTAAGAGTTCATTACTCCCTCTCAAAAAAAAATTATATTATTAAAATTGTATTGACCGAAAAATAAATGATATCAATAACAGAATCAACGTTCGAAAAAGTATGCAGAATTAATACGAATTCAATTCAGATCTTAGCCATACAACACTTTTACAATCAAAGTTCACTTTAACGCTTTATTATTATTATTAATAATAATTAATATCAACTTTATACATTATTCATAGGTATCGTACAATACAAACGTTTATATTTACATGTAACGCCAATTAAAATTATAATTATCAGACCAGCAATTACTTAGTTTCAATTTCACGGGTGGACAATTTTATCAAGAATATGTATTCTAACAAGGTTTCTACATCATATAATATATTGTGATAGACGGTGTACACTATGATACACGCCTTTCAATATTGTTTGAGTTTCAATTAAATTATAATGAACACATTTGACTGAATACTTTGATTGTATATAAAATATAGGTAGTACCTATACTATATAGGCTATAGGTGTATCGCATGACTCACGTTAATTTATTCTCGTGGCTAGACTGCTTAAATATACATGTAAAATGTATAAAAATAAAAACAAAACTACACAATACGTTTGAATCCAAACGTGAATGACCATCGAATTATGTTACTGTAAAAGAACAAACAGACCGTGCCATTTCTTATGTTGATGCGCTCCAAATTCTCCAAACCCTATTTTATAATAATATATCAAAATGTTAAGCGCTCATCAACGCTTCTAAAAGATTAAACGAATAATTACGATGGCATTGACAAAGAATATCGTAACCAATGCTTTTAACGAAACGCGATAAGTTTTCGACCTTTGAGAAATTTTAACGAAATTATTTTAAACGAATATGTTAATCTTTTGAGCAGACACAAGTGCGTTCTCTTCACGTAAACTTAACAGACATCAGTCGGTGGATTCAATTCTATTAAAGTGCACGACGTCTCAAATCGTAATTTCTGCACGATTACAGCCAACCCTCTACCGGATTTCACCCCATTATCTTATACAATAATTCACGGATAAATCAGTAAATAGTTATATAGTTACAACGACTATATAGTTACGACCGTTTTTTGTAAAAGATTGAATTTTATTTTCATTAAAACAATGCGATGAGTGTAAATGTATCGGTACAGTAACACTAAATATCGATACGGCCATACGTACCTCAATTGCGTGTAACTATATATTATTAGATTTCATATCGATAATACAATTTTTTAAATAAAGGAATGGTATGACGCGTCCAACGGTGTTAATAAATTATATAAACGCTGTTTACTGATTTCTGTGAATTATAATATTAATTTCGTTGCGAGTTTAAATGTTTATGCTGAAAAGTTAATCTATATTCGAGAATAATACTTTAAATATGATTTTATAAATGGGTTGAATATAATTTTATTTGATTGGTAGAATTGTGATGGTCATACGTTGATGTGATATATAGCTTAAGCCTCAAAGCTTAATAAATTCATTGTTACCTAACTACTATACCATTTTATAATAGGTTATAATGAGTTATTAAGGTAAATAAATGAAATAAAATAAATTTTATTTTACCACAACCGAGGCCGTAATTTTAATTTTGAATAGTCGTGGCTTTTTGATGTAATATGTAATATGAAAAAATGTAAGTTTGTCTGAAATCTATATCTGCGCCAAATTTGATTAACCCAACAAAAATGTTATAAACATTTTGCAGTCACGCAATGCCAAAAGTATACCGCTTTCAATGAATGTCACTTACGAAAGGACATATTTCGTTAGAAAACCAATAAATATAAAATAATTTCATTAAGTCTTTACTATTTCAAACTCATCATGTTAGTTGTCTTCGAAGGGAGATTCTTAAATATGAAACAGTAAAATAGAAAGGTTGGAGTCATAATGAACAACATTTTTTTTTCCATTTTTGAATCCAAAGTATCCAACGTTATATAGATAGTTAATATAAAATATAAAACATAAAAGTGATGAATAACAATTTTTACATAATTTAAATATTTAATAACATTTTACAGAAATACCTTTATATTCTATAGGTATTTATCATTGCAAATAGAAGCTTTGAAATTTGAAAATAGTTTGATGTTTGTGATAATTTCTTTATGCATGGGACAATATTAAACTTTTTCTCTGTTATTTTCGTTCATATTTAATTTGTTTGATTTTTATATTTTTGGCATGGTTGTCTGTATAATGTCTTAATTGACAAAGGGTTGAGGATGGATTTTTATATACAGTATACTAGAATAATTATTAAGCCAAACATCACAATAATATAAGATAAGATTGTTTTTAAAGAAATATAAATTTTAATTTTAGATTATTTCCTCTCAAAGTAATAATTTATAGCTATTAGAATTATTTAATACCTATTGAAACAGGTGTCAAGTATTTTTTTCACACAAATTATAAATTAAACAAAATATAAGAGGGTGCATTACTAAGCGGGCATTTGTTACTGACGTTAATTTACAGTTCTGCTAATTGAGTGCCATGCAAAAATGTTTATTGCCATTATAAGTACCTACGCTGATTTACTTGTTTCATTCTTCAAATATTCAGAGTAATAACTAACTAAACTTGTTCTTGTAAATTGTGTGTTGTTTTATTCGAAATGTTTTATCTTGAAAGTTAAATCTTGATCATCGGTTTATATTATTATACAACGAAATATGTACCTATATCAATGAATATAATATACCTACCAAATATTTATAAGACATCGAATTACATATAATTATTACTTACATACTTATAAATATTAATTAAAAATGTATAACTATACAAGCTAACTGGACATAAAATAAATAATATTTTAATTAGCCGATTAGCGATTACCTAGTAATTAGTTATTTTAATAATTAGCATTATATATTTCGTTATTTACTTGACAGCATAATTTTAAAGCAAGACTTTCTGTAAAGTGTTAGTCTATGTATATTCTCATAATGCAATCTTATTTTATGTCAGATTTTCATAGTTCACTGTCCATAGTAGACACTAGACAGGTACTATAACAGATGATTTTTAAAAACAAATTAATATTATATCAATTAACATTTTTTTTAACACAGCCTCTCAGTCCAAAAGCCCTTACATAGCTCGCTGGACCCGAGTCTCAGGGCCAATGTATTTTAATTAATGGCCAATGCAGTGTTCTAGTGTTTAATATATATCTTTTCCGTGGAGTCCAACAGTCTTATAATATACTTTGTTAACAAGTGTTAATTAATTATTGGTACTATGTACGATTGTGTAATATATTATTTGGTTGTTAATAGTGGCAATGGAAAGTTATTTCATTTTTTTTATTTTGGTAAACTAGATAATATTAATAATAATAAGAGGAAAATTTACCATATTTACTACATGGATAAAGACACAAAGTGGTCAAAGCGTGATTCCGAAAAATAGGGAATGCTATTTTATTAATAACGTACGACGCATATTAACAGAGATTAAGTATAATAATATATTTATTTAAATTACACCCTGTTTCAGGATTCCTAGTGCGATGGTGGTTTGAATAATGTATCAGTCGTACTGCATTTTTGAGTATGCTGTTTGAAGAAACTTTAAGGAACAACACCTTCTACAACGACAATATTAGGTAAAAACCGTTGTATAATAAAAGATGTACCTACTTAACAACATGGTTCAAATAGTTAATAGGTAATGCACGAGGATTAAATCGAATGTGTGCACAGTGCACACAGCTCATAAAATGCCACGGCAGTCGCATATAGTGGGATACGATAATATTTAGATAGTCAAAAATATTGTTTTCAATATTCATCATATAGTTATTGAATTTAATATCTTGACTTTTTAATCCTAATTTAATACTTATGTATAAATAAGAAATTAATTGATACAAGTTATTATTTTTTTATAATTTTTTGTTTCTGAATATGATTCATAATCACTTGAATCGTCGTTACTATTCTTACTACTTAAACTATTTTCTTTAAAAACTTGATCAGAGAATGTTGTCGGTTTGTGACATAATATGTTGGTTATAAAAATAAATTGTTTATGATTGAAACTCATACTCTCGATCTCCATAGTTGGGCAAATAATAGTCAATTAACAATGTTGGGCAATTCATTTTACCTTTTAAAATAGAATTTATACGATGAACCATAAACGTTCAAAATGAATAATATACAACCATAAGTAATATTATGCATATTTCAAGGCAGGATAAGATGGATAGGATATTTTTGAGATAATAATTTGTTCTGATCCGAATAGAATTGAAATTCAAAAAGAAGAAATTATGCAAAGTCATTGTGATGGAGCCATATCTACTACATTTAGTTACTTTGAACTTTTATAGACATAATATGAATCGTATATTTTTGAATTCTTGCTTACAGAACGTTTCTGATGCTACTGCGTAAAATTTTACTACGAGAGACCAAGTGCATGTTATAAGAGATTAAGAGGGAGGTTTAAAGTAGAAAAACTAAAAATGTAATAGGTTTGAACCCATTTTATGGTGATGCAAACTCTATTTGGATGCATTGGTATAACGTATTTATATAATTATTATATTTTATGAATCTTATTATTGTTATTACGGGTCCGAACAATGCAAATTAAGATGACTTATAGCGGATTTAATTATAATAAATAATAAAAATTTAATAATGTTATCCAATACCTACTAAATCAGTTAAATATGACATAGGTCATACTACTTCAGCACCTGGTGTTCTGTTTGAAGTTCTGCTCTTAACGTGAAATCAATTTCATCCTCTTCGACTTCTATCTATAAATGTAAGGCATAGGATAGGTTCTATCAGCGCTACTATACCATGACAATTTCCAAAAAAAAGTCAAAAGACAGACAATTTTAAAAATCGCAACGACGGGTTCCCCTTTTAGAGCTTTTTTCAATTCAAAATTTGAGAGTACCTATCAAAGATTTGATATTATAGCTAGACACAATTTTTGTGTATACTGATTGAAATACACGATATCGGTGATGACTTTTATTTTCACTTTTATTCCGTTTTAAACGAATATGAGAGATATGAGTGATGACAATGTCGTAGCTCTACTAATTTCAATTAAATAAAGAGAGCTATTATGTAAAAGTATTAATGATTAGAGTCGACTCTAGATGGGCTATAGGTACCCTTATACGCCTGTGCACATAACTGTGGTACGCAGTTACCACTGTGGCACTACAATATCACAGGGTATCGCTTTCGATGGAGACAGACCGATAAAGCTTTGATTTCCAATATGTTATAGCCTTTAGATATAGATATAACGTACTGTATAACCATTACGGACGTCCATCGTTGTATGAAAATGCAATTCCCCGTTTTGAATCAAAAACTTTAACTTATACCGTGTGCCACCGTCCCATTCAAACTCTATCGATCATCATATTTCGTGTTTTATATTATTTTTATTTTTAGTATGAGCTGGAATGCCAAAACTTATAATATTATTTTATTTTCGGCCCGAGTTTCGGTCTGCCGACTTCTAACAATCTTACGGCTCAAATTGCACGTGACAAACCGGCAGCGATATTTTATTTTTTCGATTTTCGAAATAATATATTTTACACCCTTGAAAGTTAATAAAACGTCACATAAAAAAAACAAATTATGATTCGAAAAAGTTTAGATAATTATTGGTGTAATTAAATGGTGTCGAATAAGACAAGATAATATCGAAACGATAATAATGTGAGGTTTGTAGGAGGGAGTAAACATATGTGAAACGCTATTGTTGGGAAATAAGAAATATTGGCCGTTTAGGAATAAATTAAAACGGTAAAAATGTGTTGTACTTAAATGTTACAATATTAATGAAATTCAGCCCACAAATTGGGCATGGAAAACGTCACAGGTCGTCACGACATTACAGCTTGTAGGAATGAGAAAAAAATATACTCCGAGACCTATGGAATTGGGACAGTAAAATACGGAAGGGATCCAGGCGAATCTATATGGTTCTTAGGTTAAAATATGTATCTACTTGGTCGAACGCTCGGTATTGTCCGAGTTGCGGTCGCAATAGACGAATTGCGGTCTTAATAATATTGAAGCTAAAATTAACGTCTTAATTGCGGTCAGTATCCGGTTATCGATTATCCGATGCTCTTATCCAATTTTCATGTCAATAATTTCACGATCCAACGGTGAAGCAGTATTTAGTACCTATATCAGTATCCTTTTTTAGCAACACAATTGAGCATGGAATATGTTGCCAACATTTTGACCGTTTCATTTTTGTATTTAGCATAATAATATGGAACTTTGTCAATATTTAAAACATAATAATTATTAATCATATTTTTTATCGCAACTAGGATTTTTACATATTTTGATATTTTACCTGTTTTGATCCCGACCGCAACTCGGATTTTTTTTTTTACCTGTTATAATCTCGACCGCAACTCGGTATCAACCGAACGCTCATAAAATCATAACCTCACAGCAGTGTTCGACCATATGATATGACCAATTGCCATAGACCTATATACATATAAACGTATAGGATAATTACGCGCCCTACCCCCCTGCCCTGTACGCTAAACATATATTATCATCACGCCTTGCTAAAATAATTGAAATCACTGTCATAACTCAATAAGTGTGCTTAATAAATCGCGTTGACGTCTATAACCGTGTTTCTGGTTTTAAACAGCGACGGAAACAACTACAGCCGACACGATGACCCGTGGGGCCCGAGGAGAGACCCGCTACCGGTCGTCGTGCCCGTCACCCTCGTCTACACCCTGATATTTGCCACGGGCATCGTGGGCAACGTGAGCACGTGTATAGTGATCGCCCGGAACAAGTACATGCACACGGCCACCAATTACTACCTGTTCAGTCTCGCCGTGTCCGACCTGCTGCTGCTGCTGTCCGGACTGCCGCAGGAGATCTACCAGACATGGTCCAGGTATGACGATGGCCGCGAGGTCCAGACGCGCGTTTCCGCATTGGATTTCGCACCAATGTTTTTTGTTTTTTTTTTTTTTTTTAACGAAAATAGTTAATTAACATACTGCGCCGAACTGCATACATGGTGGGCTGCAGCCGTAATAACCGAAGGGTAGTTGTGATATTATAATATTATACAAGTATCGCAGTCATATAGCAATGACAATACAGTGACAATAGTTGCACAGCTGCAGTGATAATATTAATATTGTATTATTATATACGAGCTTATCGTATAGTAGGTACCTATATTATGGGCGTCACCGTTTTCCGCCAAAATGACCCTCGCCCGTTATCACCGTGGCCGTTTTCCGCCAAAGTTTGTATTCCGATTTCCACCAAAAAAAATTTATAAATTATTTATGAACTGAAACCATCAAATAGTAATGATCACGATGTACGCGCATCACCTTGTATCACACACGCGCCTCACCTCAGTTTATTGATCATAAACTTTTATCTATATCTTATCTTACTATTACTATTCCCCTATTTATAGATGTACCCACTACCCAGTGTGTTTCCTAACGCATACGCTATTATAATTGTACTTAAAAACAGTATAAATATTAATTGTTATAATTATAAACATCACTAGTTTGTCGTCCAAATAATACATTGTTATAAAAATTAAAATGATATAAAATATATAATAATATCACGTACCTACATCGTAATCATCACTATTTGATGGTTTTAGTCCAGGGGTTCTCAAAAATAATTTATACATTTTTTTTGGCGGAAAACGGCCATGGTGATAACGAGCGAGGGTCATTTTGGCGGAAAACGGAAACCCCCTATATTATAATACCCAAGCTATAGTCTATAAAGATATTACGATGGTAATTACCAATCATGTATCTGCCGACAAAGCCGCAAACGATCGCCGGCGATTTCGTTATTCACGGACGCATTTCAGCATTTGTTTCCAAACATTGTGTAATTATATGAAATACCTGAGTACTACAACAACTGCAGTCTACAGAAGTAGAATGTATTTAGGCGGGTTTCATCATTACCGTAACTAGGCGGGCTCTGGACCCCCCCCCCCACCTCACGATCATATGCCTACGTATGGGCGGTAGAGATAAATGTATCATATCGTTATAATATAGCTATGTGAACATTATCAACAAATGTGCAATTGAAGATCACGGCAGACAGTTTATCATCGTCATATTTAATTACACTGTGCAAATAAAATTATTATTTACGATAGTTCTAGTTATTGTTCTAAACGATTTTTTCTCAAACAACACTTGTTTTCTAAATACCCTTACAACCTACAATAACGTGAACAACATGCTATTTTTGCTATCCATAAACATTAATCGTACAGCGCGTATGGATATCAGCGTGACATAATACGAACCCATCACTTGTATTTAAAAAAAAAAAAAAATCAAATTTGTACAATTTAATAACAATTTAATGTAAAATATAAGCTAATTGCGACGTTTCCGATGTATTTTGAAGATCAATAAAAAAACTTACAGCTCGTGGTACGTATAAATTATAGTGAGTAACGAGTCTTATTTACGAGTAGTTTTCAATTAGGTATATTTCATGCAATATTTTGAAAACGTTGTACAACCCATTTACAAGAACGATAATATTTATTCTTTTTGTTTGCTATGGTAGAATTTTATTTTGAGTCCACCATTTGTGGGTGGAGCTAAAATTATTATTCGATTTATTGCCGAACACGTCAGTTTTGACTTATGCGTTCAGTAAATACTAACAACGATAAAACGGTCACATAATTATATTTATGTTCTAATGACTAAAATGTATACTTCTCCAAGACAGTGTGAAACATATTATTATAAATGTCACATTTAAAATGTATCAATATTTAACTAAAATGTTAAATTAGTATCAAAACAATATCCATTGTTAGTTCGATTTGCTCAGATCTAAAATGGACAATTTATTATAATGATACGGATTTCGGCATTTTTATTTTCTATATTAAATCATGTAGTTACTTAATGACGTCTTAAACATTAGCCAAAATAACTACCATGGAATACTTTTTCACTAAAAAATATAACATTGGTTATCTTATTTTCACGACGTTATTATTATTTTATTTTATGTTGTATTTTATACAATTTTATTATATAAATTAAAATAATGAAATGAATAATATTCTAAATAAAAAAAATATAAATAATTTATTAATTTATATATTTATGTATGATGAAAAAATGTGTATCCTATACATATTTTTGTGGTTAGGTCATTGGCTTAAAATTATTAGTAATGTTCAAATATCCTGTTGTTTCACAATTATACAACAAAACTCGTTATCTTCAATTTCGGAGCGCATGTCCCAGTAGACTTTAATACTTCATCGCCTTTTATTTTGGCGTACTGCCCCACACGCTTGATTTTTATACGTATATATTATATCTTTTCCCTTTTTTCTTGTTAACAATTATACAAACTTATTTTGTTGTTAAATTATTTATATTATTTTTCGTATGGAATAAACAAGTTGTGCAAGGCTTTTCAACATGTGGCATAAATATAAGGTATCATTAAATCATTTTTAGAATAAAGTAAAACTGAAACATAATCATGTAGTAAAATAGAAAAATAATAATACATAAAATAAGTTTAAGGTATCATAGGTCAAATATCTAGTTCTGAGATCCAATTAATTGCTTTAGAGGTGATATTTATGGTTACATTCGAATTTCCATTAAACTTCCCTTCGGACATACAATGATGATGTGTGACATGTACATTCCCTGACTTGCTAAAATTGCTTTTAAAAAATTATGAAAAACTAGTATAAACATCTCTTTTGACATTATTCGTGCCAAGACTCGGTGCGAATAATTGAACCATGTCAAATAAAACCATTGAACTTTGATCAACATTAAGTATCCAAGAATGATGCATAAAGTATAACACAACTTTAAAATTCCGTTTTTATAATTTTCAAAACAAATTTTGACTAATTATCCTAGTTTTAGAAACACATTTTCATCTATTTTGAATTGAATATATTTAATATATAATATTTCAAAAGTATGTGAATGTTTATGTGCATTTGATTTAATTGAAATTATAAAACGCTCTGAGATGAGAAATATTCTTCGTGAGGAGAGAACGCTTCATGAATAACAAATAATAATTGTATTTTATAAAGAATAACAAATAAGGATATACTCGTAATGGTTACAAAAGAATTCTATGGTAATAAAACATTCTCGTTCTTGACCGAGAAAAACGTATAAAACAGTGCCTCGGGGACACATTGCATTGTTAATTCGAATAACTGCAAATCGTCTGATATAAACTTAAATGAATCACATTCTGGCGTTGAGCAACTTTGACATTTAAAAAATATATAATTAATATGCCATGTGTGTGTATGTGTATGGGTGGGCGTCTGTCCCCTTCAATAACGTAAATTAAGAAGACATTTTATAAGATTACATCCGTTCCAGGTGTAAAAATAAAAACCAAGATTTCACACTGTGTAGACTCTATAATGGATTTAGAACACAAAAAAGTAGTAATTTATGCTAATTGAAGACTAGATCGGATGAAAAGGTTTTATGTTTTACAAACAACAGATGATACGAAAATGATTATCTGTGGGTAAAAAGACAAAGACAAAGACGATTCTTTTTATAATAACATTTAGAAAAACAAGAGGTTATTTACTAGGTACGTCTTTATAGTGAAAATATTCAAAATAAATAATAATAAATACACAAACCTTAAATTAAGTATAAATACCTATTTGTTTAATTGATTAAAATGTTGAGTAGGAGGTATCTAAATAAATAAATTTATTATTGCCTGTTGGTCTTCATATTTTATACGTCGAAAAATGGTTCTACTTCAAAGACAACATACAATTTAATATAACTTTTAGTTTTACCTGGTCAATGTTACTATTGTTTTAACATTTTTTTTTTTGTTTAACATTTCTGCAATTATTAGTATTTTTTAAAAATATTTGTAACTCAATTCATAAAAGAATTAATTAGTTTTTGTACCTATATATATCTAAAATATACGTATTTTTGAAGCTCACATTTTAATTAAAATATTTATAGCTAACTATGTTAACCTTAATTATTATTTATTTATTACATAAATCAGTACAGTATACATTTCAAAAGATTAAATATCACTAACATTATTATAATATGAGCTGGTTTAAATTAATTAATTTGTTTTTAAATTATAAGAATAATAACTTAACGAAGTCTCTCAAAACCAACGTTTAGTGTATTTGGGTTCAAAAATAAGTGATGAAAATATTATATGTTTTACAAAAACCAAGTTTAAATTAATACTTTTTACTCATTATACTAGGATAGTAAATATTTATAAAATGATATTATATAGTAACGGTCTCAAATGAAGGATATCAAACAACACTAGAAAAACTATAAAACAATCGAGAAATAGAGTAATAGCCAGCCTGCATGTACACTACAAGTGATAATTATGATGACAATAAATATATTAATACATAATATTGAAATATACCAGTTTTATTCGAATTTTTATTGCCATTTAAGAAGGTTGATCGTATTTTTATCAAACGGTCATAAATCTATTTAGGATAGTTCTAACGCAGTGTATGGTATTTCAAATGATTGAATGTGCAACCTTGTAAACTAAAACGTCCTTCCTCGTGTATCGTTACATAATATTATCTGTTCAGCTCTTTTCATAAATGTAAATTAATAATGTACCTACCTAACATAAATATTTATTTTATTATAATATATATATATTATATAATCAATTCTGCGAACGGATGTTTTATAAAGGTACATAATACAGACAGGAGTGTGACGACTTCAATTTAATTTCGGTCGCTGGAGGAACCGTGGTATACAATATATTACAAATTTAATACAGCATTGGTAATTGGTATTGTGTACGTTTACAATATTGATTCTTCAAGAGCTTAACTTTCCAAGTCTTAATAACGGCAGTTTGAAATTTGTAATTTATTATATTTTATTTTAATATTCTACTTATTAATTTGTAAAATATAGAAAACTACATTTAAAAAAGTGTTCTAGCATTTGAATTAAATATTTAAATTTACTTATGGTGTAATATTGTAATATTAATAATGACCTATACATTTTATTGTTGTATGACGCTCAACGTTCAGAACATTTTATTATTTTTTGTTTAAGTTCGTTTCAAAGTCAAATAAGTACCTATATTAAAATAAATATCACAACTAACGACTATCTTGAGGTATTTGATTTGTAAGGATTGCAAATTCTTTAATAAATAGCCACAAAAACACGTCAACAAAATCCCAGTTTGTTTAAATAGCGAGTATCTACAGCATTTTTAAAATTAACTAATACATCACTTTTCAATATTTTTATAGTCGTTACTTATTAGAATAAAAATAATCGATTATGCTATGAAATAATAAAATAGTATAATATTATTAAAATTAAAATATATTATGTATATATACGTTTTTAACATTAAACTATTACAATCTTTATTGTATAATTATTTTAATTAGAATACTTTTTAAATTATTGAAATGCATTATAATTGTATGCTATTTTATGCTATTTTTTTTTAGGTATCCTTATGTGTTTGGAGAGATGTTTTGCATAATCAGAGGGTTTGCAGCGGAGACATCGACGAACGCTACTGTGTTGACAATTACAGCGTTTACCATTGAAAGATACGTTGCAATTTGTCATCCGTTTATATCACACACAGAATCAAATCTGCCCAGAGCGTTTAAATACATATTAATCATTTGGGTTATAGCGTTGACACTGGCTTTTCCTCAGGTAAATGTTTCAAAATGCTTAGAAATTAAATTAGTAATAACTCGCGAATCGTATCAATTGAGTTTAACTTTAATTAAATGTATATTGTTGCAATAATAGTTTGCAGAGCACAAACAAATTATAAAAAATGAATCGAAAAAAAATATTTCGTTTCCATAACTGTTAGTTATATTATTATTTATTATCTTTCATTATTAAACAAAGAACATTGGAGCAAATTAAATTCTCATCAACAATTACCTACATATTCAATAGGTAAATATTATACATTTATACAACAACACCATATTTGTATATTACACTGTTTTACTCAATAATTGCTATATCCGGAGTACAGGCATAAACAGTACAGAACAGTACTGAGCAGTTTAATAAGTATATTCTTGTGCATAGCATTAAATTTATGAAAAAATTTCAAGTAAATACATATTTAATTAAAAAAATAGTTACCAGGCGTTCTATACCATATAAGTTTTCTCATAATAATTAAATTCAGAAGTAGTAAGATATTAAGTTAGGGTTTTTAGTATAAGATATAGGTACATACTAATAAACAATAAACCATTATATGCGTAATGAGAATATACGAAAATAACTCAAATATTACCTATTAAAAGTAATAATGTGTATTTTTCTCTATTATGTAACACCTTGGCATAAAAAAGGTTCAACACATAAGACATCATTATTATACGTAGGTACCTAAAATATTCATTTTAGGAGTTAGTTAGAACATAACACATAATCCTTTTTCGAGGCAATGTTTTATATTACTTTCAGTGATAAAAAACAAATAATATTAAATACATCCGCACGAGTTATATTATGTGGACCGTTATAATATAGTGTATTTCATACGAAAAGTAAATTTCTTCTTTTACAATAAAAGCTCCGAGGCTTATACCAAACGCTTGAGCAGACTCGAGGCTACATTTCGCGTAAAACTTTCATTCATCGGTGTTGTTAATGATCTTATAATATTACATTGTTTCGCCATGGGCAATTGAAAGTTTGGCGGCCATTGGTATCAAATGAAAAACAATTGTGTATAACGTTTCCGATTCGTCAAGTGTTTGTTTTCGTTATACTGTAAATACATTTAAATGCATTTAAAGATATTTACTCATTATACCTATACAGAAACTTTTATATTAGATCTGTAATTGAATAACCGCTGTAATACGGTCATCGAAAGTTAGAGAGTTTTGTACCGATATGATATTCTTTATTGTCATGGCTCCGATACGTATGGGGGAGAAGAGTAACGAACCGTAATTTTATAAATTATGTGAACAAATGTGTACGCCTTCCAAGGCTGACCGCCCTTATAACTGTATCTGGACCCAAGACTAGAACTAGGGTGGTGGAACTGCAGGCGATGCATCCCTGGGCATAAATTGTGCACATTTAAGTATTTTCTCTTATAGCTTATACATTAGCGATGGATCCGCTAAGTAAAAACAAAGTATGTTTTATCATTTGAATCATAAAAAAAGCAAAAACGAGTTTGAAATAGATTTAAACTTAAAATAGTTGATTAGAGCAACCATTTACTACATCTTCTACAGAAATAAAGAGTACTTTATGTCTGGTTTATATTATACAACTCTATAATAAAACTTGTATTACATTTCAGATCTTAATAAATATCAATTGTATTAGCTGAAATCTCCAAAAACTCAACAATTTTTAAAAATCACTAAGGTTGTTTATTAATTTTGACAACCCGCATTTACATACAAAAATGCTTTTTGTACAAGAAATTGTTAATTTATAAAAGACATATTTTAATATAAAATCAAGCGGTGCTCTGTTTTATTATATTTCACTGTATAATATTAAATAGTTTTTTTTGTACTCTCCAACGTTCAAATATTAAAATTATTTAACAGCAATAATTTTAACGACAACCGGTAAATATCTCTGAAATATACAACCTAGTCTCGATAACTAGATTTGTTTTCTCGCCCTTGGAGTGTTCTTAAATTGTGTTTGAGGTATATGTAATTCGAAAACTACATAAGTCAATTTTTTTTTATTCCTTCGAAATTCGAGTTTTTGAAACTCGACTTAATTATAAATACAAAATTGTAAATAAATAAATACTAATTATATTTAAATATTAACCAATGAACATCATACAAATTACCACATAAATATTTGTATACGTCCTTCGAGTGAAAAAGATTTTTTTTAGAATTGTTTTTGTACAAGTATAATATGAAATGTATCAGTAATCAAAGTAATCTCAAGTCTAATATCATAGTGAAATATTTAAATGACATCCCATATCAGTTAACTGCATTTAATTCAGCGAAAATTGGCGTATTTTAGTACAAACACCGGCCTTGTCTGGACCATTTTGTACCAATGTTATTTTTGAAGTTGTCTTTACTGTATTTGTCAACGTTGTCGTTCGATCAACGTCGGCAAACATTGACAATTCGATACAATATATGAGTCATCTAAATACGTAGCTGACGACGACGGTTAGAATACCACAACGTAATAGAATATCGTCGAAAGGACAAAAAAAAAACCAAAATCTATAAAATTCAATTTCTGTTTTTGGTAAATGTAATGAGTGATTGGTTGCAGAAATGTGTGTATCTACTTGTCAAAATACGAGTAAATATGCTTTCGGTTTTTTTTTCATTTTATCATATTAATATAACATTGTAATAATCTATCCATAAATTCTTACTGACGTCTTAAAACGATCTAGATTTATTCATTTTATTTTTGATCACACTACAGCAGTAACCGGATGACAGAGTCATAACGAGCTGTTCAAATTATCAGCATAATTTGTGATTCATCCTGTAGGTACTTCTTTTTCTCTGTTAGAATCCGTTGCCAATTGTCGCACTTCACTAATCGAGATGTAACCGTAGTCACGGATGTGTCAAAAAAATTACTTTCCTGACGTTTTTCTTTTTGCCATTATTTTGACGATGTCGATTTGGATGTCTCGAATTGAGCGTTTTTGCTTATTCGAACAGATAAAGCTCTTATTACAACAAAAGTACGCGACGCAGAATGTTAAAACTCGATAAACATTTATAATATTATTATACACTTCATTACCACATATTATACTTTATTTGATTTAAAAACATTTGTATTGTATGGCCATAATATTTTATCATCACATGAAAGAATTGCATTTTAAATCGTTAAATACAAAACTGACATAAACTTTGAAAACAATAAAGTTATTTGTAATATTCTCTATTTGTCATCACAAAAATATAATATAATGATTGATATTATAATATTTTACCTATTGAATTCAAACATTTCTTGAAATATTACTTACCACGAAAAACTATGTCAGTTTTCAACACCAAAGTTGGTTAATTGCTCCAGTTTCACAGTGTGAGTTTTACATTTTATTCAATATAATAAAATACGTATTATGAGTATGTATAGTGTTACCTAACTAAAAAGTTGCTACGTTATTTCGCGTAATTTGTACATCTCACTTAAGTTTTTGATACGTACATATATATTAATTATAAATAAAGAATGTCGATAATATTATGTCGATGATCAGACAGTTATAAATTGTTTCTTTAAATATTTAAGAAGAATAAAATGTTATTTTCAATCAATTTCGTTTAAAATGTTTATCATACTAAACCGTATTTGTTTAGAACAAAAACTGTTCAATACAATTATTGATGTGTCTATTATTTCAATGGTCGAACAAAAATAATGAAAATAAAATATGACAGTTGTTTAGTTTTGTTTATAGTAGTTAAAATAAAAGTCTGAATTAACCAACATAAAGAAGCAATGTTCTGTATTTTATGGTAAACTGTTCTCGGTTTATTTAACGTTTTAGAACCAAAACTATCTGCTTTTTCTAAATGCGGATCGCATTTAGAACTATAAATTACAGCAATGGTCTCAACTTTGTTCCTAATTTTATCAACAGAATCTGATTGTTTCATTAAGACGAGGCATGAACCTTTGAAAACTTTAACAGTTTATGCACTGAAACAATGTTTCTAGACTTATCATTTCATTATACGAAGAAAAATCTCGCCATCGAACAGTGACAACAAATCGAAACCTTGTACATTTCCACGCAAAGAATTTTATATTAGACATGTTCGATCTAACGTCGTTGCAATATAATAGCTTTGATGTCAATATAATATGCAAGCAAAACACAATTGAATATTCTTGTTGTCAATTTTAACGATGCTAATGGTTAGAGCAGGAGTTCTTACATTATAGCCTTTGAAGTGAGACCCGATTTCGACCTGTGAATAGTTCTGTAAAGGTCGCTTACACAATAAATAGCTTTTAATTTTGAACTTTTTTGTGGAGTATGGACGAATAAACACTCCTACGTTATACATTTATACGTTTTTAGACATCAGCCAATATAGCGATCTATTTAAAATGCATTCAAACTTAGTTTTCAATTTAATTCCCCGTTATTGTAAATGATTATACCAATGAGTATATTTTACTCGTGTAGGTTAGCTCAAACTAACTTGATCAAATAAAATGACACTGGAAAGTGTTGGGGTATTATATTGAAACACATACACACTGCATTTGCAGGGAGAGTCTGAACTATTAGAGTGCCACGTTAAGTTTGTATAATAGAATACGCCACTTCCACATCATTGCTGCTACATAGTTTTGTATTATTAGATATAATATTATATGGGTATATAATATTATCATGCATGTATTAATATATTATTGTTGTATACAATATAAACATTGGCGCCCATAAAATTATGAAATATTTCTCTCTCACCTCGGTACCTACTGTGTAAATGGCGTGCGCTTCTGTTTACATTGTATTTCAAACCATCTCTATTGTCCGTAGAAACCAAGGATTGCAATAAAAAACTTAGTTTATAGCCCGACGCTCAAATCTGCTAGGTAAGCACAATTTTCGTCTGACTAAGTAATAATTAAAGTTCTCTCTGCTACTCTATTACCCAAGTTTGTAGGTAATTATTATCGACTGATCTACGTTTTCTAATCTGTGTTTTAAAGGCTTGTAATTTAATTACCTTATTCGCCAAATCCTTTGAGTGAGCATATAATTGTTTGAATAAATTTCAATCAACAAAGTATAAATAATTTCACTACGACAAAAACGATGGCTCGTTAACCTCACCTAGCCCTTACATCATTAGTATAGTTGATTATTAGGCTACACTGATAATGCTCAATTATGCATAGTAATAATGTTATAAAAGTTAATAACCACAAAAAAAATTTCACAAATGTCACGTTAATTATTGATATGTTTTTTTTTAGTAATCCTTTCTCTATTTAGAGCTGCTTTAAATAATTTAAATGACGATTGACTTTTAAAAAATAATCTAAACATATTTTATTGTACGTAAATTATCTACAAAAATATGTAACTGTCAAAGATTCTGAGATTTAAATAGAAGAATTAAATATTAGACTGATTTATGTGAAGGCATATAAGTATATGCATGATTTTATTATACAAAAGGTACTTTAAAATAATAATCATCATAATTCTATAGGTATCTTTAACACGCTTAAAAATAATGACTTCCAGACACTTAAGTAGTTAATTTGTAACATTATTAAAATAATCCTATTCTTAATATTATTAAATTAATAATTTTGTTATAAACTGCTCCATATTTTAAACTTAAAAGTTTAACCATTATAATCGGCTCATTTATTTCTTGACAATAACAGACAGCACACAGATTGGGGTGAGTTAAAAAATAGAAATTTATACAAAGATAAAATAAATATGAATTGGCCAACATCTGTAGGTACCTACTGTTGTAAATACCCTATGCTTATAAAGATTATCTGAATAAACATTTTAACTTACTATTTGAATAAAGTACTATTTCTTTAAGGCGATTTCGATTAACTTTAAACTTGTGCGACTGCTGTTGAAATATTAATTTTTTCACTCTTTTTTTGTTGTACTTCGTCTTATATGGTATGTGTCAAACATCAACAATAAAAAAACACCAAGGGATACGCCGACACGTTTGCTCACAAATATCCATCACTGTTTAAAGTTACTTGACTCGTTTCACGTGGCTCTTTATGGGAGATAAGTTTTCAACAAACTTTTTTTTGTTGCTATATCCAATTATTCAAGCGGAAAAATATATTAGTTTACTGATGGTTTTTCGTTATCCTTAAAAGTAATAGATCATATTATACGTCATACACTCATACGTGCAAGATACAACAAATATTGTTTTCGTAAACTTTTTTTCAATACTCTAAATCAAATTATTTAAAATAAAACAATCAACTTAGATATACTTAGAGCATACTCGTATTTTCAAGGTTAGAAAAGTCTACCAGACTTATCTCTTTTTTTCAGCCAAACTATACTGCCCGGGCCGTTTTATAATATTATTGTATTTTATTCATTTTCCCGCAGTGGGATTATATCTGAATGACCACTTGACACCTGATACACTCTGCCACACAGACCAGGCCATGAGTGAGTGAACGATGGCTTAGCTATGATGGAAAACGTTACCCTAACTGAGTTTGAAGTATGTGACGATTGACGATAAGCAAATACATAGTAAATTATGTATTTAAATATTGAATGCAATATTGAATTTAATGATGAAGTGATCGGGTTGTTTCGTTATATTACAGCGTAAAACCCGTTGAGCATCTGCTGTCCGTGTGCGGAGTAAAGTCATATATTTTAAATAAATTTAAATTAGTAAAATTTATACCAAAAAAAAAAAAAAGAAATATTCTAAGTTCTTAGCTGTTTCTGAGTGAAAGCTTTGCAACACACTGTACACGACTTTTTCGATCCGTGGTGCGACTAATAAGTGATAACTAGACATCCAAATTCATATAATAATAATTTTGACAAATAATAATGTATACAGATGCGATTTATACAGCTGATATTATTATATTTTGTTCTAAGTTAAATGAAAAAATGTTAAAAGCATTTTTCAGTTAGCGTTAGCCGTCGTTCGATTTTATGTTATTTCATTCCGGTAAAATACAAACAGAGTAATGGACATGGTCAGACAACTTCACAGTCCGGAGCATTATACCGGTCAACACCCCCGTAATTATTTGAAATGTATATATATTATTTTATGTTTATTGTATACTTCAGAATGACAGTACTCGGAAATTGAATCTGTAATCGTTTTTATATTTAATATACGGTTTTTCGTTTTTCATTTTTCGGGAAATATTTTTGAGTGGAGTATTAAGTATATTAAATTATATGTAGGTATACGAGTGTAATGTACTCAGTGCATATGGTTTCAGTTAATCAATTTATAATGTAATATATTAACATGCATATAATAAAATATTGATCAAACCTAAGCATAACAAATACTATTATAAAATAATAAATATTAGCATTAATTATGTCATAGTGTTATAATATTATTACGCATGAAAAATGTTGATGACAATTCAACACGGTTAGTACATCATATTTCTATGACTTTTTGTTATAGAATAAACGTGTAACAATTTATAATTTATAACAATATTATACAGCCACTGCAGCCACTGGGAAAAATCTGTATTTATTTTTTCATCTACATAGAACCTATAATAATTCAGTGGACTGTTACTCCTGATGAATTTTAATTTGGTTAGTACCGTATTTTGTACGTTCGATATCATTATGAAAATGTTATTTTCTCTATTTGAAGTAGAAAATCTAAAAATGACAATGTAATGAAAAACCCAATGATAGGATTTAAATTTTCCAAACCGTCCAGACGATAGCAATTTGTCTGGCTTCAATAGTTCATTGTGTGCACCAGATGAACTATTTGATTACAATAATAAAATAAAATCATTGACAACATTACAGTACGAATGTGTAATAGTGAAATAATATACCTATACTATAGAAACAAAGTATATTTTTAGAGTGACTCAGACTTCAACAGTCGTCCGAGATTTGAAAAAGCAATCGCAATGTCTGATATAATATGGTATAAGATACTATATGTAAACAAAATATTATGTAGTCTGTGTATTCTAGGTAGATTCAGGGAAATTTTTTTTACTTGGAAGTTTATTTCGGGAAATAATAGGAATAAAAAACTTCCGATGTATGCATTCAAAAAAAATGATATATTCTGCTACAGGTCGCAAACAGTATAGGTACTTAGTGTAATGCCATCCATTATAGATGGGTAATATGAAAAAAAAAACGATATTAATGGTTAGTTTTGGTGTACTTTATATACCTATTCACATTATTTATACACACATCGCTAACGAAACGGATTTAAATAGCACTCTTGAGTCCGCGATACTACGTCTTAAACAAGTCATGGCTGGTACCTATCGCAGGTATTTGTCTTGCCGAGATTTAACGGGAAACTTACTTGCGTACATTTTTGTCGAGCGGGGGTGAGGGGTAACCTGGGGTTTTCGTGGTTAACCGCACGCGCAAAGAGATTTGCAAAGTCCTAACAAACAAAAAAGGTTTAACCCGGGCGGAAACGAAGTTCACTCGTGGCTGTGTGATGCCGTGCCGAGGGGGGGGGGGGGGCGCAGAGCTGTCGAGGGTGAAAAATAAAAAATAAATTCACCACCTAAGTTATCTTCTATATTTTCTCTCGTCACGAGAACCATCAGGGCATTGCGTCGTGTACGATAACAACCACCTGTCGTTTGGTATGTGTAGGCCATACAGATGGGACTTGTGTACGGACGCGAGCAGGACGGCACCATCATACCAGAGCTGTCCACGTGTGGGCTGGCCAACAAGCTGCCGTACGCGTTCGAACTGTCTTCGGTACTGTTCTTCCTGGCTCCGTGGACGCTCATCGTCGTCCTGTACATACTCATCGGCCTTAAACTGTACAAATCCAAGCGCGACTCGTCCAGGACAACGTGCTCGGCTCACTGCCGGCACACCGCGTGCCTGAGCTCCACCAACACCAGGGCCACCGGGCGTGTAGTCAAAATGCTTGGTGAGTATTCCACAAATATATATCGCTATAATAATATTATCTATTTATTTGTGCCACATTTTCAAAAATAGAACGTTTTTACGGTCGAGGAAAAATCATTTCGTGGGTGATGCATAATGTTTGCATATTATCATTTAAAAATTATGAAAATTGCACCTGACTTAGTATTATAATATTATGTAGGTTTAATTTCATTTAAAATTAGTTTATTTTAATTTAAATAAGGACTCATTTGAAGAAATATGTTTGCGTCACCTTCAATGTCTTAAAATATGTAATTATCTATTTGAAAATATAGTATGGTTCGGAACTCGAAAATCTGAGTTTGAATTGATGAATAATTACATTTTAAAATTAGGTTGACCATACTTAGGCATATACATAAATATTTGTTAACGCGTATAGTCAAATAATCAGTTATTCCAAACACTGTGATAAATTGCACGCACTGCGGGGTACACCAAATGTGTTTCTGGCAAGTCTTAACGAACAATGTCGGTATTTATTTTATGTTTTCGTATTCAAGGAAAACAAAAATTCAATTATATTTTTTTTAGTTTGGCTGAAATCCGAAATTTGGATTGATTCTCGTTTGATAAACAGTGTATTGACGAAAAATGGATGTCTTGGGACAATTTGAGATGAAAATATAGAGCGATAAGTAAAGCCACTAATCGGATGTGTGAGTCGGAAATAACAGTTTAAACCTCTTTTTTTTAAATTTTAACCAACCTAATACGTCCTTTTATTAAAAATAAGTACAGTTATAAAGTATAGTTTATAAAGAAAACGTTTTCAATATTAGTTAGGTACACGTCTATCCGAGAATTTTAAACTGCTATAAAGTACAAATGTTCGTCGACATTTATTGGGAGTTAAGTTAAAAAAGCACAAAATATACATTATGTCGACAAAACACATTTAATGAGTATTTTGAACTCTACATTTTTTTTTGTTCTTTTTTTTAATTTTAAAACGTTAGACATGACGTTGTCAACACATAATGCTATCGAAAGACGTGAAATAAAATAAAACCATTATTGCCAATTCATGTGATGCCAAATCTTGATTCACTTCATTTAAGTTCCAAAATTAAATAGCTACAAGAATACCAAATGTTTTCAGATATATTTTTTATTTTTATATTACTATAATAAACGAGTATGAAACCCTTCAGAACATTTAAAAAATAATTACTTAAATACAGGAATGATTACAATAATACTGGTAATAGATAAGTAAATTAGATTGAATATTCTTAAAATGTATGGTAAGTATAGTAAAATGAATTATTAAGCTAGATTAATATTAACAAATTAACTGATATAAGGTACAACTAAAAATCGATAGAGCACTCATTGGCCATTAATATTATACTCCAAATAGGTTCATTTTTCATATAATTTGGTCGAACATTTACGGACATTAAAAAAAACAGTAAATATATTATAATATAAGTGATATATTTTTTCTTAAAATTCTACAGGTACTTAATTTATAATACCATAAAAATAGAAACAGTAAATTATGTTTTGTTCCATAAGTATTATTTATATATACATTATTAGATCAAATTGATATATCATACATGCCATTATTGAGGGTCATAAACTAAAAAAATTGTACAGAGATTCGAAGTTTGTATAGATAAAATATGTAAGAATTTATTTTCTGAGCATAAAATTTTTTTTATTTCTTTCAATATGATTTGTACCTTTGAGCATCTAGACTTGATATTTTATCACGAAGATACTCGTACAATATGAATAACTATGTATTCAATTAATGTCAAATGTTTATTTGTTATACCTGTCCTACTGTCACTATGATATATTAATAATATTAATAATTTTTTTATTAATAACTTTAAAAAAAATATATAATGACTGAGATTTGCTTAAAATTGTTTTATAAATTCTGAATTTCCCTAAATTATACTTGAAATATCTGCCACTAGTCACCAGTTGCTAACCTATTTCAAGATGAGCGAAGGGAAATGACAACCCAATAAGTACTTATAGGCTGTATTCATCTGATTTTTTTTCAATAGTAATATACTAATATACGAGTGTATTAGTAAAAAATTGTACGAATTTTAATGATATTAATCGTTGTACTTAAAAATGATAAACATTTTTTGTCTTATAACAAATATAAAACTAAACAATTAGTTTGTACTCGTACTTCACAGAAATAATAATTACTATTACCTTCATTTCATTGCTGAAAACAATTGGGCAAGAGCATAATTAATATTAATTATACACTATGTATTGTATTATATAATGTATGTTTATTAAATTAAAAAGTATATGAATAATGAAAACGTTTTTACAAACAGATAATATTTAAAACTGTATTTTATACTAAGAACGAAAATTAAGTAACAACTATAAGATAATACCAAATGATATACGTTAGTGAACGAACAACTAAATCCTAGTTGCATCCAAGATATGTCAAAATGATTCTGATCTGTAGTCCGATATAATTTCATATCTTGTTTAATTAATTTAAAATACATATCCATATAATATCGTAATATCAACTTGTACAAATAAAATAGTTATAAGAATACAAATGTAATTAATTGTAAACTGAAACGTTGTTAGAAAATTTCTAAATATATACTGTAAAATATAATATTATATTATAAATCTCAATAAACACAACATTAAAATATATTGATAACATATCATCGAACATATGTTTTATAATGTCGTATTGATTTGCCTGTACGGTCAACGTGATAGTTGTCGTTGACAGTCGGATCGTTTCGTTTAACTGTTTAACTGTTTAACTTGTTGTATACTGTGTAGATATTATAAATAGTATATTCGTATGTAAGATTAATAAGCCGATGTGTTTTTTACTAGAACGAGTCATTTCTGTATTATTTTATTCGGTTATGGAATGAGAGAAGCCAATCTAATACTGAAATCCGCCAAGAGTTTTTTTGGAGTTGTCACAATCGATTTTTCGGGAGTATATCGTTAAAACCAGGGAAATCAGGCCACGACGAGCAAAAAACTCGAGAAATTTATGAGAATCTGACTCCAACTGATATAAAAACATTCTGTAAGAAGATTTCCGGGGCTAACGGGGAAAATCCGGATGTTATGTGGAACGGTATTCGGAGGTTGCCGAACGAGTTTCGTGTTTAACACATAATGACTAGGTAACTTAATTTGGAGTGCTGGACAAGGAAATGATTTCAATCGATCTTGAAGGTGCTTTACTTGTAGTGTGGTATAAATTATGTTCTGTCAAAATTCAACCGGATTAAGAACGATATTGCTGCGATCTCTGTCTTAAGATGATCCACTGACCACTTCGCAACGTATATTATGCAAGTAGAAAGACGAAGGATGTCAAATCCATATATCACTGAAGCAAATTAAAACTGGTGTGTGTGTGTGTGTGATGTGGGATTAATATAAACTCTGACAGTTCCTTCTTAGAATACAATGTATTGTAATTACAAATTGTCAGGTATTGATTCATCTTAGCTTGTACAAAAACAACTAGGTGGCACACTAGCATGACATGATACAAGATATGAGTGAGGTGAAATATTACCTTGTTACTCGAATGGCAGATGTGGAAGTATTGTTGAGAGCTCCGGTGAAGATAAATGATCCTGTTCTTATACTAAGTTCTAGCAGAGAAGCTTTTGTTAGGTATGTCTTATGTTGTCCGAAACTGAGTGTTTTCTATGGGTCAAAAGCAAGGCTGAGCAAGTTAACTAATTATTTTAACTAGTTAAGTTAAGTTTAAAGTTAAAAGTTAAGAGTTACTTTTCTTATTCATTTAACTGGTTAAAAGTCTAAAATTAAGTTGAAAAAAAGTAATTTAACTTAATTAAAAATAAAATACTTTTTACAAGTACAATTGATCATCATACTTTTTTCTTAAAGCACAACAAATAAATAACGTAACTTTAAAATAAATTAAATCGTTAAGTTAGAAATTACTTTTAAAAAGAAGAAAATCGTTCAGTTAGAAGTTACTTATGAAAATAAAGATAACTCTTTAAGTAACTTAGTTAAAAGTAACTTAACTTTTTCTAACCTAACTCGTTATTGCCTAGCCTTGGTCAAAAGTCTCATGTCAAAATTAACAAAATAAAAGTGGTGGTCGAGCAGTCTATTTCCGAGGAAGAAGAAGTATTTGTTATAGAAGACTGTTTGCACTACTGTAAATATAAGATAAATTGTTGTTTGTGATGTTGAAGAGCATGCATAGATATTTTGTTGTCTCTACACAATATCTAAGAATCTTATTTTTGAGCTGGTTCCGGGTAATGCTTGATAACGCTGATTCTCTCCTTATCAAAAACTCGTGGTTGTTAACGCGAAGAGATAAGATGAATTGATTATAGATCGACTCTGAATTGGTTAATCTTGTCACCAGGCTCAAGTCGCAGATCGAAAGGTCGACATTGCAGATCGAGGTTGAATCCCTGCGGAAGATGACCTAACCTGGGAAGGTATCCAAATAAGTTGACATACCGGTTGCATAACTACGTCAACGATACTTCCGGAGTATAGAATTGTGTCCGACCTGAGTAAATCGATTATCTCAATCTTGAGGAACGAAATACTAATCCAGGAAGAGGACAAGCTGGGAGAAATGATGTCCCAAATGTTCAAATATTTGTCCATTTGAGAATGTGCTACAGTTTGTGAGAATGCACTTGACCGGCCTGGATAGAGATGGGTTTCCAGAAAAATGGCTTTATATGCTGTCTGATTGACTCAGTGAAGAGGATCTTCAAGTTGCTGAGTGATCTTTTAAATTTAATGAATCAGAAAGTGAACCGAAGTACATCGTGCCGATGACGGGAATAGGAACACCAGCTCGGCAACTGTCTAAAGAGAAGACAGAAGAGAAAGCGAATCCCGAAAGGTGGAAACAGTTCGAGAAAATTGCTGCAGTGTCCAGTGGGCCGAGATATAATACCTCCCCTATCTAGTGTTTGAGTGTGTAAAAAACCGGGC